TTAAAGTCATAATAACTCTTCATTTTGGCCAAAAATTGGATTTTCCTGGAGTAAACGGCAATTTTCCCGTACTTACCAATGGTCAGCGACCCCATTCCTGCATTCAAAGTTAATCCAGGGTTTTTTTCCTAAACGTACGGTTTTTTGTTAAAATCTCTTAAGAGATTTTAACTGACGGAGCTCTCTCTGACATCGCATAGTCACTGTTGACCTACTTAAAACCGCGGGAAAAGCAGACAACAACAACACTATATAAGATTCATGAGATATATTCGTCTTTTTGTTAAAAATACATTAATATCCACAATGTGTGCCGTTCTGGGCTTTTTGTTATCCGACGCACTGTACAAAAACTCGCAACTTACGTCTGCGTCCGCATTAATGCGTTTGGCGCCATATGTTATTTTGGTCTCGAATGAACGCGAGAATCCGCGTGACACCATTACGTCATTAGCAACGAATGCCTTGATGAAAGCTTCGAAAGCCCTATTGACAAGCACAGATTTTAGTTTTACTACAATAACGGCCGTTTTAGTGGTAAAATACAATAGAATATATTTCCATGCGTTGTTTACAATGTATTTCATGCGGAATTTTGAATCTCAAAGGAAGAGTTATTATTGCTTTAAGAACTATTCAATAAATGCATTCTAAACAGCTCACAGAAATAATAAATTCCATTTTACCACCAAAAGGGTGGCTAATGCATTATTATTGAATTTGTGCTGGCCAACACATAACATGAACTCCTTAAACAGCTATATGCACTCACCAATAATATCCTTTTATGCGGGAATGGATTCATAAACTAATTGGCTATATAGTAACAGAAAATTGTCCTTTGCTGCATTTTGGCAAAAATGAACAGATGTTCTCCCAAGTCCCCTTTGGATTTAATTTTGAGAATGTTAGGTCGACCATTCCATGGGTTTGAAAACCCCTGACCCAAAACTACTGATTAAAGCTATCCACAGTGCCCATCCACAGCTTCTTATAAACAAAATATATATTCTAAAATGTACCAGATGTTGATACTTCAATAGAAGCTGGGAGATGGATGCTGGTTACATTATTATGCCTGACAAGAGTGGTTATAAACTATAAATCATCCTTAATTATCCTGAATTCAAGGGCAGAGAGGGATTGTCATATTATCCCTAAGAATAAAATGTCCTCATTTCCCTGGAAAAAAATTCATTTCGTTGGGTAAGTGGAGTCGCCCTGTAAATAAAGTCAATGGTAGACATGAATTGGTAGAGTATGAATTTGCAGTGGTCCTGCATCACCTTCAAATGTTAGAAATGTATCTGTGATGAGATTCAAACTGTGGAACATGTTTTATTTTTGTCCTATGACAGCTTGCATTTGCAAGGATTTTAGCTTGTAAAACATCTTTGGAAAATTAAATTGGATCCTCTTGTTCAGCTTAAAGCAATAGATAATGACTTCAATTGTATATCAAAATCCAAGTAAAAATTAAAGGAATAAATAGTGAGAAAATAATAAAATAAAAAAATCATACCCCCGAGATATTTGAGAAAACTAGTTGCTACCCTGATGTACATTGCGCACATGCATCATTCATCATTGCTGCTCTTAAATTTAATTTTTGTAGTGAGTGAAATATGAATGATGTAAATGATGAGTTTGTGACAAAAATTAAAATGTTCGTTAATAGGTTTATACATTTTGGGGGAAATTTTGAATATCAAATTTGATATCTGAATCCTCTCCAATGCATTTTTAAAATATTGTAATACAACATTCATGTACTGAGTACTGCTGGATTTTAAAGAGCTTAGAAAAGCAAATCCCACAAATTAAACCCTCGTGCAAACTGAAAATAAAAAGAATGATAATAATCATCTTAAATATATGCATGAGCTGTCACCAAAAACAAAATTAAAAAAGCAGAAATTACCTGAGCAAAAATTATAAATACACATAAAACTTACACTTTAACTTGAAGTAAATCTAGCATTCATGTACATGTCTTCTGTTAATATGGGCTTATTAAAGTTATTTGAATTAAACTAATAAAAAATTAGATTACCCAAGACTGCTGGTATCATTTTCTCCATGTATTGTTTATCTTAAATTGTAAAATTTATTAATGCAAACAGTCATACACCAGCCCATCTAAAATGTTCATTATTTTATATATTTTCATTCAAATGAGAGAGAGAAAATCAATCCACTATTAATTGAAATTTATGCATTGAATGGATTAATTTAAAATCCAGTCTGATCAGCTGCTTCTTATGATAAATATAAACATAAAAATATGAAAAAAAAAAAAAAACGATAAGTACACAAAAATAAAATCAACATTAATTTATTAAGCTGATAAAGTCACAAAGAAACTCTGAAACTAACACCAATAGATGCTGATAGCTCCACTAGGGTTTTCAATATGGCGAAAGACCCGACCATTTTATAGGTATAAGGCTGATGGTACCAACAGCTGAAGTTTGGCAAAAGATATTTTTTATCCAGCAATACTTCTCTTTCATATTAACCTGTTTTAATGTTACAGGCCTTTTCTAGTATTTACTCACTCTCGCTTTCGTTTTTCCCAGTGTATTGTGCTGTATTGCGTCGTATTGCGCATTTCAGCTCTACCCAATAATAATTGTATGATAAAATGTTTTTTTAAATCAAACTCTTTCTGAAAAGCTCACAAGAGGGAGTAAGTCATGTACAGTAATCAAGACAATCTGATGAAGGGTAATGTGTGATGCTTCATAGGTAAACATATTTTTGATCTTTCTTTGCCTTTTATTTGGTTTTAAAATAATTTTTTGGCGAAAGGCAAGTACTTTCTCTCAGAATTGCCATAAATTCACTGCCAGCCTGTCACAATATTTGCCTTAAACCACTAGCTGACACTTGGGCTGTTCTCCCATAACTCACAATATCACTCAGATGACAGAGTGCTATCTCACACATTACACATGATTTTTCTGTGAAATGCTGGCACTTACACTATGTATCTCAAATAATGCTCTCTGGCAATATATGCCTTGAATAGCTTGGTGATATACTGTGTACATTGCAAGGATGACAGTGTGATACTGTTATCTCACAAATTACTTTATTCTATATGTATAATTAATGTATGTATAATTAATGCATAATTACTAATAATAATAAGTAAGTTTCCTTGGTTGTGGTCTGCACTCTCTGGGTCTTTTTATTTTCTGCTTTTGGTCTGTACATTTGACAGCTTTGCTGCCTTGTTTATCATAATAACCATTATGATCAACAACATGCACAAGTATGTTATCAAAATCATGCATTCATTCACATGTGCCTCGTGACGACTTACCTGGTACAGATCAATATAATCCGTCTTCAACTTTTCTAGACTGGTCGTAACGGCTTGGTCTATGTCTTCAGCAGTGTATGGCGCACTATTTGCGCCTTTTCCATTGCCAACCTTGGAGGCTAGTACAATATCTCTTCTCTTACTGGGGTCCATTATCTGCCCCAGAACAGAATGGGAGTTCAGATATGCCTGTAACATAGAATACAGAAATAAATAAATAACTTTGTTATATGATTGCGTGAGAGAGACACACAGACACTGTGTGTGTGTGTGTGTGTGTGAGAGAGAGAGAGAGAGAGAGAGAGAGAGAGAGAGAGAGAGAGAGAGAGAGAGACACTGCATGTGTGTGTGCACATGCAGGGACTGGGGAGGGAGCCAAAAGCTGCTGATGTAAGTACTGGTGCTCAATTCTTTTTAATCAAGATGATAATACCGACCAAAAAACAGCTAGTGATTTAATAATTTATAAAAAGAAACAAAATCATAAATTTTTCTATATGGATCTACCCAAACTGACAGTCTGACCATTATCACTCTCACCTCAGCAGTGTCTATAAAGTTTATGCCAGTCTCCAGTGCTTTGTCCCATATTTTCTTAGATTCCTGTAAAATATTAAAATTTATATTTACACAATTTGTTTAATTAAAACATGTATCATATGTATAAATTTGTAAACAATAAAATGTATGTGTGTTCAATGGTAGATCAATTAAAATTTGACAGATTATGAGAAGAGGACACCTGTCTTAGCCTCTGAGGTACCCTCTCCCCCTCATCCCCTTCCCCTCCTCCCCAAAAAATGATTAAAAAAGCAAATCAAGGCAGTATCAAGAATTTTCTACAATCACTGATGCATTATATTAAAGTCGAAATATTGTCCAAATCATCTACATCTATTGTTTTCTAGTCCCATGCAAAGTGAGACAAAATGGCTAATACATGCATCCCACCCCCACCCCGCATCTAAGGCTCTATTCCCATAGATTTTAGATCGATCTATCCCCGCGGGGAGTCTCACTAGATTACTTTCAGATAATCCGACTTAAATGTCTGTCCCGCCTACTACAAGCTGTAAGGGTGTACTTAACTTTCGTCTCCGCCCGGCTGACAGCTATTTAGCGTGAACCCCCAGGGAGTTAGGTCGATCTAAAGTAGGTTGATCTAATCTATGGAAATGGGGTGTAATACTTGGCCTTCCCACACTTGTCTACATTTTTAATAAAAGTTATCATACAAGCAGGACTGATCTACCTCTGTGGGGATTCTTGCTTAAATCCACTCAGTGTAAGCAGCTTTATTGGCTGGCATGCCCCCCTTGAGAAGCTTGGGGAAAATTAATTCTTTAGAGTAGGGGAGGAGGCATCTTGATAGTCCGAGGGTTAATTGGTCTGAAAATGGTAACATTTTCATCAGTTTTTTAATCAATGGTTCATTGGTCCGAAGGGGGCGTCTCAATAGTCCGAAGGTTCATTGGTCCGAAGGTCCATTGGTCCGAAAAACGGTAACATTTTCATCGATTTTTTAATCAAGGGTTCATTGGTCCGAAGGTTCTGTAGTGAACATTCGACCAATGAACCTTTGGACTATTGAACCCTCGGACTATTGCTACGGCCCCGGTCCGAAAGTTCTATAGTGAACATTAGGACCAATGAACCAATCGATTACTGAACCTTCAGACTATTGCTACTGCCCTGGGGAGAGGTGGTTGCTCTGCATTTGTGCACTAATAATACACTGTAATTGCCCCTAGTCTCTCAAGGGGGTGTGTGAAACAAATAGGCTGATCACACTGACTGCATTGTAGGGAGAATTCCTGCAGAGATAGTTCGATCCTACTAGTTTATGATTATTTTAGAGTGCATTCCCAGAGATTTAGATCGATCTAACTAGATCGGCTGGGGTACGCACATTTACCTGCGCACATTTCACATTAAACCTCAACTTTCAGGCCCGTAGCCAGGGGGGGTTCGGGGGGTTCGAAAGAACCACCCCTTTTGCTGGGAAAAGGTCCACTCTGGGTAAAATTTGATCTAGGAACATGAAGTTTTTATGGGAAAAGGTCAACTTTTTCAGAAAAAGAACCCCCCTTTTGAAATTGCTGGCTACGGGCCTGACTTTAAAAATCAAAATTATTTTAACTGCATTGTTTTAACCATTAAGACACGCCGCACTTTACCTCCACGGACATCGCTCCCCAAGTTTTGTCCCCGCCAACCTGGCCGCCATTGAACTGCCAGGTGCCCAGGCAGATAGGGGACACATTCAAATCACTCCCTGGCAAGTTGACTCTCTGCATCTTCAAAGTTTCAGTGCACTTACAGTACTGTATGTCGCTGGTATTAATACAGACAGGTCTCGGAAAGCGTGGATGTTTTACAAATTACGGTGCATTTGCCCGGGATTAACCAGCGAGGCACAGTTCGTCACTGACAGAGTCTGTGAGATATAGAGGTCAAGCAAACAAACTGTGTCTGCAGGAGTTAATATTGTTCCAGATGAAGTAGCGTGTATTCTGTTCAACAGAGATAAAGCCGACGATTTAACGGCCCGCATTTTAAACAGATAGTGTTCTATTTTTCCTCCGATTAAACAATTACAGGCATCACCATAAAACTAGCGTATTTTTCAAAATTAAAATGTGGGCATATCAGGAAAAACTTTCATAGTATATAAAAAAGGAAGTAAGAAAAATATGTTTTATTAGCGTGCGACTGTAGGAGTGCGGAGCTGCCTTGACCTAGTTAAAATTGAAGGATATTGTCACATGACAGTAACGTGATCAACCAAGCACAAATAAGATCTGCCTGCTGACTTTTCACGAGTAAATAAATAAACAAATAAATAAAGATATAAAATAAAGAGATAAATAACCTAAATGAAAAAGGTTATTGATCAGCAATAGAGTGATGATCATAATCTATAAGATTACCAATTACCAATATTAATTTAAAAGACGAATAATATATTAAATAAATATAAATTAATTACGTAGGCCTATTAAATATATTTATATCATACTGTTACCTATAAATACATTAATTTTTTGAAGCTTTACCTCGTTAAAGGACCCAAGATTAATTGTTTTCAAACAGACAACATAAGAAAAAAAATTATTGATTAATTAAGATCAAAAATTTCATTAATGATAAATTGATATTCTGGTTTGTCAATACTATACCAGTACAGAATTGTCTGGTTATCATATCGAGGCACGATGTTTTGTTCGTGTGCTTTCCCGTACAGGTAATGATCTTATCGATTACCAGTACATCATATTTCATCATCATCATCGTTCCTCTTCGTCCCGTGTGGGACATAAGGCCACAGTACTGTACATGTACATCATATTTAGGGCAACTTTAACAAAATCACGTGAAAAAAATATTAAACTGCCGGCATGATAAAAAAATATTCACTGTGCCTTTTGTTCGTAGCAAAACGTAGAAGAGTATATTGTCAATATCATATGTTTATATGTATCTAAACCTCACACTTTAACGCTTTTAAAATTCTTAGGTTTGTGTTCGTGCGTGCCAGACCAACAAAATGGATGATTTGCGCATGCAAGTTTTTAAATGGTGCGCCTTTTTGCTACACCCAATTTTTAACTGTAAGGGAGCTTTCTTGTTATTTTAATTAACGCTACATACAGTAGCTTTCCGCCGCCGCCCCCCCCCTTACCGCTACCCCCGTTACCGCTATAAATACATATGGTATTTCCTAGTAACAGAAGATAGAAGGAGATAGAGAAGAGTAGAGCGTGAGGAAATAAGATAATGTATGTAGTTGAGGCAGTCAGTAGAAGCAGTAGAGTGCTTATCAAGTCAGCAAAGTAGTAACAGTAGGAACCGTACCAAATGGCACCGTTCACCCTCTAAAATACCAAATACTTTCGGGGCCATTCAGCGGGGCCCGAACTTCACGCCAAGGGGTAGGTGCACGTGGGTGGGTGGGTGGGTGAATAATCCTGGATTCGCCTATGACTTTTTAATATTTTTCTCTCGCCCTTAAAAAATTAAAGTTTTACCGAAACCGCACAGTAAAGAGAGGGGGGAGGGGGAGTAAACAGCAAACATGTCCATGCACGCGTAACGTGACAGCAAGGCAATCTCGTGTTGACCTAGTTTTGCGTTGATATTATCGTCTCTAATACCACATGACAGCAATATGACCTAACTGGGACGGACGGGACCATGGGGAAAGAAGCTCGAACAAGAAATGTTTGGCGACAACGAAGGAAACGTCGAGAAGTTATATTCCTCGTGCTAGCAGGACTGATGCTTTGTGCTACGATCGTGGTACAGATACTAAAGCCAGCTGGACGGAGTGTTGAGGTTTCGGCGGTCGATGGGAGGACGCAACACAATGAAGGAAGTCGCGTTAAGAGAGCTATTGAACTGTCAGCGACAGGTAGACGTTTTGTGTATTATATATACATACCGGTAGTCACATGAGAGCTTAGAGACAGGTGTTTTGTTGATCGCGTGTGTACTGGTATGTTTGTTGCAAGCGTTTTATGAAATGATTCAGACATGTTTTCAGAGCATTAATTAGAAGCACAGTTCAGTGTTTCTTCTTCTCCTTCTTTTTATAATACATGTATATCTTAACTTTTATAAAATTCATATCATTAAGCATGTTATGTACGGATACGCTATAAGTGCAGAGTGTGTGTCATTTCATCTTTGGGAAAGGGGTGAATCAGATTAATTTTGTTATATAACACCTGTATTATTTATTGATTATTTTATTTAAGCTATTACTTACAATATTATATAAGTTTTATTTCAAAGAATCAAAAGAAATGACCTCTACCTCTCACATCCCTGTGCCCATGCAAGGCAGTTGTTGATTCACATGTACTCTGTAGACAGGGTTCATAATATTAATGCAATCAATATATCCCTGCCCCTTGAATTCAGCTTGTGGCCTTAAAAAGTGCTTAAAATTAATTGCTATAATTAAGACTTGAAAAGGGCTTGTATTTCGCAATTTAGCACTCCTATTGACAATTTTGATATGTACTGCCTGTGCACAGCCAGTAAGTATCAGAATCGTCAATAGGAGTGCTAACGCATGAATTTTCGTGCTAATCGCAATTATGTCCTTAAAATGTACTCTGATTTGATCACTTGGCAATTTGTCAAAATATTATTTTAAATCTTGTAGTTTTTAACCTGAATATTAACAATAACTTGCAGAAAGGGAATACTTTTTTTTTAGAAATCACTTACAATTACTTTAAAATTTATTGTTTTCAGGTTTCATCATGAATATGTTAAAATACAAATTTAATATTTGAAATAATGTCTTTCTTTCTTTGTTATGAACACTTATAAATGACAGTAATTTGCGTTCAAAGTCCTTGAAAAGTACTTGAATGAGAGCTTCAAAGTCATTGAAAGTTCTTGAAAGTGTTATTGATGTTGTCGTATGAACCCTGCCATATACAAGTATCAGCACTTAACTTAATTGTCATACTGAACTTCTAGAGTTGATAAAGACAGAGATGATGGGTCAAGGGTATTGGACATTATATACCCAATACACTGACCTCTTCCTTTCACTAAATAAATAAGAAATGGGATGACTAAGATATAAATATCAAAGTCAGTGACTTTAACATGTACATGTATATTTACACTGTATGGAGCACTTTATGCATAGATTTATCAGCATGTAACACACTTTCTGTAAGAGACTATTAAAAGATTAGGCGTTTTTCCTTTCCTGTACGTCCGCCATATTTAGGTCGTGGCTTTGTAGAGCCATGGCTCAACTCGATGTGAATGCGGCCTAACTGATCCACTGACTAAATTTGGTCGACCATGCTCAAAAGCAGCGCTGCTTAATCCTCTGATGATCTCCCTGCCATTAAACAGATTAGATATCAGCTCTGATGTTTAATTGCAAGGCCCCTACAGCAATGAATTAGCAGGAAGGCCGTCATGGAATTAGATGCTGCTGCTTTTAAGTTAGGTGGCCATATGTAGTCAGCAGATTTGTTAGCCCACCGATGAACATGTTCTGAATACCTCAAATTTCAGGATTCGTGGTTGAATTGTAATCAGTTCATAAAATTTGTCAATTCCTGGCCATTCGTGGGATTCGTGGTCTGTGTGAAATAGGGGCATAAGTCACACTGACTCAACAAATCTCATTTCTTATGGAATCTCTGCAAACATATTTATTCCCAGAGATTCCAATCATTATAGATCTTATTTTGGCATCCAAATCTAAACTTTCTTTTTGGTTTGTGATCAAAAATGCCATTACTGTCTGCCCTTCTCTGATCAGGAAGATTACTTACATATCTTGTCTTTGCCAGTGTGCCGGCATCTGTGATTATTTTGCAATGTTTAAAATATTAATGATTTGACTGGGTGTATAAAAATTTTAAAAAATAATAATAATAATACAGAGAGATAAACAAGTAGATATAAATAACAAGAAAAGAAAAAGGCCCATTATGCTGTTAGATAAGGTGGGATACGCTGGAAATTAAACTATCAAATGTATCACTTTGCAAATTTTATATACATATTTTTTAATTCATTCAGAGGAGCCCCAGAATTGCACAAAGCGTTCAGTGGAGGAATTTCCCCCTGATCTCTTCACCCTGGAGCAAAAACAGCGCTACGGCCTCATTTTTCTTCACTGTCTGGGAGCTTTGTACATGTTTAGCGCATTAGCTATTGTCTGTGATGATTATTTTGTGCCTTCTTTAGAACATATCTGTACAAGTAAGTATATTTTTATATTTACGTTGTTTTTTTTATTGTTTATTCTGCTCTTATTTTTTTGTTACTTATTATGATCAAACTGTTTTTTTTTTTTTATTCTCTTTAATTTGATTCCTGAACATATATGAATAGTATTTATTAAGTTTTATTTATTTATTTATTTATTATACAGTCATAGTAACTGAAGAAATAAGGAAAAATGTCATAAGATATTAAACATTTCAAGTAGTTGTTTCTAATTAACTAATTTAAAAGATACTAAACTATATATTTCTAGGGCTAGGTCTGTCACCAGATGTCGCCGGGGCAACCTTTATGGCCGCTGGAAGTTCTGCGCCTGAACTAGCCACATCAATAATAGGTAACCTGAGACACTTCTGATGGTGTTATTTTAGTTTTTAAAGCTAAATGATTTTTTCACCAAATCTGATGCTGCGAAATTCTTAATATTATAGCACTTGCTCTTCCCATGGTGATGACATATAAACAGTTACATTTTGAAGTGAATATTTTGATTCATCCAGTCATATTTTACTGAGATAATGAGAACATTAAATCTAAAACTGGATCTTGGTTTCAATGTAAAATCTAGTGCAAGATTGAATTTTTTCTTGTTATCTCAGTAGTTTACAGTATTTTGCCACTGCAGTATTCGGCCTTCTTATACAACTCGTAAATTTAAACTATTTTGACATAACAAATACATCTAAACATGCTGTGTCTTTGCATGAATATCTATAAATTTTAATTCTTCCAGTGCTAAAATCTGTCTTGGTTGATTTTTTGGCTATGTTATACTTGCTTTATATATTTTCCGTCTGTGCAAATCAAATCCATAATTTGTTATAATTTTTGCAATTAAAAATTAGAATTTATGCTTTGTTAGATGCCTATTCAACCATATTAGTTGGCTTTTTGTCACCTTTATTGTTGTTGTGAATGCTGCTTTATAGTTATTTTTTTTTAATCAAAGATTGTCCAGTTGTGAATGCGGTTTTATAATTAGATTTTTGAACCAAAGCCTCTCCACTTGTGATCACAGTTTTATAGTTACTTTTTAATTAATTGATTAATTAATTAATTAATTGATTAATTAATTCATTAATTGATTAATTAATTAATTAATTAATTGTAGTTAAAGCTTGCCGTGATGTGAATGCAGCTTTATAGTGTGATTATTGCAGGTGTAATGGTATCAAAGAGTGATGTTGGTTTAGGAACAGTGGTAGGGTCTGCCGTGTTCAACATTCTCGTGATTGTGGGCATTTGCTCAGTGCTAACTGATTGGAAGGTGCTTAAATTGTAGGAGTATTTGTTTTTTGTGTGCATGCTTGTGCGCAGGTTTTATTTCATTTTTTGTGTATGTGTGCATAAACATTTACCCACACTAATCAGTGGTAAAGGCAAAGGAGACACTCATTTAGTCCCAAAATAAAGTTATTTTTGAAAATAGAAATAATAAAAATGATCAGTAAAATAGTTTTGAATGTATTTTGAAACAGCTAGAGCTGGGACTGGGCATATACTAAAAGGATAAAAAAATGCAATTGAAATCAATTTTATTTACCCCGTTTGCCTTTATTACTACTTATACTGCATGTTATAGCATTGATTAACCAACTAATTTGCTAACATTCCTTGCACAGAGTTATTACTTGCACAATACGTGTCATAATTTAATAATTAACCCATGGTCTGTGGCAATTGACCAGCAGATTAGGAATCAGGTAATAAAAAATTGAATTTTTTCCAATCTGTAAGTCTGATCAAAATTTCAAATTTGTGAGATTTTTAATGTCATTTTAGATTGTCTTGCCACTGCGGACTTCATCCTTGACTATGTGGCTCAAATCTTATAACTTCAGACAGAAAGTCTTGTTGTGATCAGAAATCAAATTTTTTTAAAGACTATCTTTTATCACATTTCAGGCTATTTAATGTGAATCCCATTTGACCCCATTCCCATAAACACTACCAGTCAAGGTGGATCGCCCAACTCTGGGAGGACTCTCGTTAAGTGTAATCAGCTTAACTGAATGACATGCCTCTTCTTGTTTCCAACATACACATATAATTAATTTACCCACATTTCTGTTATTTACGTAACATCTGGAGGAGGGATGTCTTTCAGTTAAGCTGATTGCAGTCGGTGAGATTCCCACAGAGTTGGGTCGATACACATAGACCGATGGTGTTTATGGAAATGGGGCCTTAGGTTCTCTTCTTACTGCAGTGCTGCCCCCTTACTTCCTGCATGTTATTGGTTTGTTTCTAGGTGTATTTATTGCACAGAGTGACGTCGGGCTTGGAACCATTGTGGGAAGTGCCGTCTTCAACATACTCATCATTGTTGCTATGTGTTCCCTTTTTGCTGGCATGGTATTAACTTTTTTATACCGGTATACAGTACATGTAGATCGCACATATAACACATTTATTGGAACTGGTCATTTTTGCCTAATAAATGCAAAGACAACCTGTTATATGCAAACACTGTTCACTAAGGCTCCGTTCACATGAGAAATCTATTTTCTAAAAATTTAAAAATCTATTTGCGGTATCTTGTGATCACGGTCTGTGCCCTGAATACCCCATGGCGTAATTACGGGTAGCGCGAGCCAGTTTCTTCCAAAGCTGTAATTAATTCTTGGCGCTGCCAGTAATTACGCAGACCGTGATCACAAGATACCGCAAATAGAGTTTTAGATTTTTAGAAAATAGATTTTTCATGTAAACGGTCCCTATATCACATTGAGCTTAAGCGGCTGTGATGTCTGGCATGCCTACTGAAGCTGTTAGGGGTAATTAACTATTGTTTAACAGCTTCATGCCAGGCATCTAAGCCACTTAATCTGAATGCAATTTTATGAGAATCCCCTCTAAGATGGGTTGATCCTGCTAGATTGATCTAGGTTTGGGAATGGGGTCTAAGTCTAATTTTAAAGTTAAAATCAGCAGTACTCCGGTTAAATAAAATATTGTGTATGTTTATCACAAGAAATATTTATCTCATGGTCCAGGCCAGTGTTCATATGGAAGAGGGATATAATTCTGTATTAACCATGAACTGAAGAAGACCAAAATTTTAGTGTGAATGTTTAGACCAGTTTTTGGAGTAAATTTCTTTTGTTTTATATCATCATTTTCTTTTTTTCAGATGATCCAATTTTCTATTTATTCTTTTTAAGGTGATTCCGCTCACTTGGTGGCCTCTGTTTAGAGATTGTTCCTACTATGCATTGTCTGTTATAGTGTTAACAGTTGTGATACAAGATGGGGAAGTTCACTGGTGAGTGCAATAAATAAATTAATTTTTAAAAAATAGATAAATATTATTGAAAACAAAAGGACAATATTATACATGATTTTGTTCTGTCGCAATCTGGTGATAGGTCAACTTGATTCAAAATATTATAACAAATGGCTAACAATATTCATTTTATCTAAAATAAATTGAAATGGTTAATTGAAAAATTTTCACCACATTTGTTGAGTTTAAAAATTTTTACATAAGTCATAGTCAACTTGTCCCATTACAATTAAAGATGAGGCAGTTAATGCTCACATGCATTTGCCAACAAGCACACTTTGAGGCCATCAGGCTTGCACCACTAATGCAATGAAATGTTCCAATGCAATCATCCTGTTCACATCAGATCACAGGGACCTTTTTCTAATATTTCAAAGAGCTACAACCCAAAATGCTTCAGAAGTTTTAAATTTTAAACAATATAATAATTTGATCAGTTTCATTTCAATTTTGTATAATACAGTCAAAATGCGTAATGCTGATGTGTGATGCATAATCACCCCTGTTATAACATATTTGTAGCAGTACATTTTTATTTAATTTCATATTTCAGGTATGAAGCACTGATAATGTTTACAATGTACATTCTATATGTGACATTTATGTACTTCAACCCCAGAGTAAGTAGCTGGGCAATTGCAAAGGTAGGTTGTGCATTTCATATTTTTTTCCATATCATCTTTTTATGTACAGACACAGATGTGTCTGTACATATAGCCATCATCTGCGTCTGTCGTCGCCGTCGTCGCCGTCGTCGCCGTGCACTTTTACCGATAAC